TTCACTGGGAAAAAATGGCGCCCCTTTTATAGAAAGAACTTTTGTTCTAGTGAAGAAACGCCCCTGGCAAAAAGAGAATTATCGACTAAAACCCTCGCAGATGTCGTTGAGTCCTTGATTGGAGCTGCTTTTGTGGACGGAGGCCTGCCGAAAACGCTGGCTTGTCTGCGAGTCTTCTTGCCGGATGTAGAATGGTATGACTTGAGCGATGCGCACAAAATCCTTTTCGATAGGAGAAACATCGTAGCACAGTTACCTTCTGACTGCGAACCCTTGGAAGAACTCATTGGCTATACTTTTCGAAACAAGGCCCTATTGATGGAGTCTATAAGCCATGGTTGTCTGAGTTTGTATACAGAGACGAGCATGGAACGACTCGAATTTCTTGGTGACTCGATCCTCGATACTATCATAGTCTCGGTTCTGTGGGAACATTTACCAGAGCTCTCAAATAATCAGATGCATCTGTTAAAAACTGTATCCGTCAACGCCGACCTGCTCGGCTTCTTGGCAATGGAGTGGCACGTCACGCGGGATGTTACCAGCATTTCCCCGAAAGACAAAGCCACTATTGTCACCCAGGAGCCTATCCCGTTCTGGAAGTTTATGAGGCATAGATCTTACGAGGTCAGCAAAGCTCAGCAGGTGGCGGAATCGCGACACGCTGCAGAGAGAGAACTGGTACTCAGTCTCATGGTTCACGGTACCGAGCATCCCTGGGCCCAACTCGCCCATCTCAACATCCCAAAGTTCTTCTCCGACATGTTTGAGAGTGTCCTCGGCGCCGTGTGGGTAGACTCCGGTTCCATGGAGACATGCAAGCAGATCGTGGAACGGATTGGAATACTGCCATATCTGCGACGCATCTTATCCGAAAACGTGGAGGTTAGGCACCCGAAGAACAAGCTCGGAGAATATGCGGGATGCCACCAGAAAAGAGTAAGGTATGAAACGGATGTACGGGTCGAAAATGGTGAGAGGGATCTCTTCTGTAAGGTCTTTGTCAACGACGAGTTCATCGTGGAGGCCAACGGCGGCCTGAACCCGGAGGAGATCGTGACGAAGGCCGCGGACAAAGCGTATCATATGCTTCGCCGTCGAGCAAAAAGAATTCGGATGAGTCAATGACCTAGACGGAATTCACGACTGTTACATCCCTTAAAAAGTATGTTGTTGAGGGGTTTGCGATCAGCAATGTATCGGGTCAACAGATAGATGGGCTACAGACCGAGGACGTGTCTTGCGGCCTCGGTACCACACGCTTTGTATGTCTCATGATGATAATGACGAAAGCATGAAATTCAGTAAATAAAACCGTACTTTCCGTACCATGATACCACATACGCCAGCCGTCGCCCGTGAGAACGCTCCCAGCCCGAGGCCGTCTACCCGAAGTGTGCGTTTCTTGCGCAAACACATTGAGGCCATGACACAATCTTTCGCCCATCCCCCATATTAATAGCATCCGACCATTCGCGTAGTCCGAACAAATAATAATGTGTCTACGCACTAGATATCCAATACCCACAAGAATACTGGGAAAAAAGGCCCACCCGGCTCTGGACTGACGAACAATACACACGTCACGTCACGTACAGTATTGAGGCGTGAAATATAGCTACAGAGAGTGTCCTCCTCCCCAATGAAAGCGCCAGAACATAGAATGTAGGCATAGTATACCCCGACTCTCCAAAAGGGCCCAAAGCATGAAAGTGTTTTGACTTCGTGACCTTAATACCGCAAGGTCGATGGGTAAACTTATAGGCAGAGACGTGTAAACTTTTCGTGTCTTTCCAAAAAAAAAAAAAAAAGTTCTTTGATTTCCTTCCGGCAGACAGAACAGGCGACGGCGGTACTGGCAGTGCGAGTCTTCATGTGTCTCGGCTTCATGGCACTTCTTGCGTGTTTTATTGCAGATGGTACAAGTAAACTCAGGCGTGCCTTAATCTATTTTCTGGCGAGTGACAAGTTGCCTCTGCTGACTGCCTAGGCACATATTATATCGCATTTAATTTTTTTCGTTTCTACGCGAATGTGAAGGCTTTTTAAAAGTGTTGATTGAAATCCGAGCGGTTGTTGAAATGTGTAGCTGGTAGGCAACCAAATTTAGAGAGAAAAGGGGGAGTAGGGGATCCAGCAAACAACGCTCTGGTGATCAGAAAACATGATAACAAATCGCACACGGAACAAGACAAGCTTTATCTCAATGAATGTGAGGTCGACCGTGTTATTCAGCTGGAAACACCCGCTTCCGCAGATATCTAGTCGGCTACGTGATCAACCAATAGCTATATTCATAACGCTCCGTAGTGCCCATACCAAAACAAAATCCTCCTCCGAAAAGCGCTTCCCGTATCTAGACGTTTCTCACCTTGTAAACAAAGTATAACAATGTGCTTGTGAAAGAAACATCGCTAGTCCAAGGATACTATGAATTCAACATGCCATGAAGTTCAGATCACAGCAAGGCCGACGAGGTCTTGGTCTCAGCAGTTTCAACTCCAGCCTGACCATTAGATTTCGACTCATTCCCCGGCGGAAGAGATAGATAAAAGTCTACTGTGTCCTTGACCTGTTCCTCGAACTGCTTGAACCCGAGCGCGAACGCCCTCCTCGTTTTTGGCTTCTTTATCACGCAGTGGGTGATCTCCGTCGGGGGGTCCTTCGCAAATACGGGCCCAACCATGTCCGGGTGATACTTTTCGACAAAACCTATGGCGTTGGGCCAGTGTGTATAGCCCGAATTCAGGATATACCGGCCGGGGGGGATACACGGCAACAGGGCCTCGACATGACACCTCGCCACGTCGTCTATGTGAACTGATCCTGAGAAAAGCCTCTCTTTGGATACGCCAAGGAGATGATTTAGCAATATGGCGTTTGAGCCTCTGTTGAATTCCTCTCTGCTTTTGCACATGCGGTTGGGGCCGAAGACGTTGGATGGCATGAGACTGACAATATCGAAATGCAGATTAGGATGGTTTTCCACAAATGTTCTTGAAAGTCTCAACGACTCGGCCTTTCCGGCGGCGTAAGCGCCGAGCTTATGTCCCAATTCGGAGCCGAGCGGGCCCGGGAACTCTTGATCTTCATCTTAATGCTCTCGTTAGCAGCGGATTGAAACCGAAGCTGGGGTATCTTACCTTCAATAGACCTCACGACTGCCTGGTTACCGTCGAGCTCCTTCAAATCGAAGAAAGGAGTAATCGACGAAGTTAAGACAACACGTTTCATAGACGGACATGTCCCGGCAGCCGAGAGTAGCAAGTACGTGGTCACACTAACAGGATGAACGAACTGCCACTGGTAGTTTATTTGAGGCTGCAATTGTTTTAGCATATTTTGTTTCTTTCCGATAGTGGTGTCAGAATAACACACATGATCAGGCGTCCACGGAGGCGGCGTTGACATGTGGATGACATAGTCCGCATCAGCCAAGAGCGGATCAGGATCGAACTCGGCAACCAGAGTTGGTACAAGGGTATACTTCATGTGCTCATGATATTCCGGGGGAAGAGCTTCAAGGAATGCTTTTAGCGACTTGAGTTTTCTGAAGAGGGCGTGGACTCGGTATCCAAGATCAATGGCCATAAGTGTCGTCGCGAAGCCGAGAAATGAACCCGCACCGGTAATCTATAGGCATTGTTATTCATAAGGGCCGGACATGTTCCCGGTCACCCTATTTGTGATGGCTACTTACCATCACCAGCTCTCTTGGTTTGGGTTTTCTAGAGCTGACTGTCTCAGGTGTATTATTTACTGCGGCGCATTTCTCTTTGGCCGTATGGCCACCAGGTGCACGATTCTGCGAAGAATCACTTCCGTGTTGCTCGGCTTGGTCTTTGCCTTTTCTCGATCGGCCCCTTCTGACCCGGCGTTGTCCTGCCTTTGGTGAGACCGCGGTCTTCTGTGAATTTGATACTGGGCATTTTTGAGACGAGTTATTTTCATCTTTCTCGGCTCCGTCCCTGCCTTTCCTCGAGTGATCTCTTCCAGGCACAGCCATCTCAAGTACTTCGTCAGATACGTCGTCGGGCACATCCTCTACTGTGGCGTGTTTCCATTTGCGCGCGTGTTCACCGGGTCCACGCTTTTCTTCGACTGCGCCCTCTCCGGATGTGTGTGTTTGCGAGGAGTCACTTTCATGTTTCTCGGCTTCGTTTTTGCCTCCCCCCGGTCGACGCTTTCCGACCCTGCGTCTTCCTGCCATTTGTAACGCCGCGTTTGTCTGCAAATTAAATATTCGGTATAGATCTTTCTCTTGGGAGTGAATAATAGGTGATTTAAACGACAGTCATATTGGGCGATAGGAAACGCTGTTGGCGTGAATATGAGGATTTCGTATGATGTGCCTCTATCCCCTTCGAGAGATGTTTGCTTAAAACTTATACAATATTTTCCGTCGGTAACGGCCTCCAAGTCCCAACCCGGGCATCCCTTCCTTATGACTATTAAAGTGCGGCGATGCGCTCGCCGAGTTCCTCGAAAAGGTGCAAGTTAGACGGTCGCAGTTAACATAGAAATAAAAGGTGCCTTTGCCTGCCCTATCACTTTCTCTATTGTATCGCCATCTTGTCAATGACGTGGCGGCGATATCCCTAGCAGGTGATTGACAGTCACTCGACGATGTGATCAACTTGCGAGGCCACAGTGAGGCACGCTTAACCATGGCGCTACATACCCGCCGCTCAGAGCACAAAGAAAAGGAGGCGTAAGACGATGTTATTAGCTGATATGGACACCCTCGCGACCAACAAACTGTTTTTATACGACTCAGCTATAACCGTAGGGCTATGACATGATCGGCATTGATACGGAATTATCCGTCGGCTCCCACGTCCTAGATAGATACCAGGTAGTTGATGCATTCTCCCCATTGCGCATCCAAAAGGGAAGCAAAGAAGGGGGGAAAATACGTGAAAAGAGGAACATGGAGAGAGAATAATCCTCGAAAAAAAGGGGTTGCAACTCCCAGTTGAACTGGGAGGCATCAGGAATTGAGCCCGATGCGGGGGTCGAACCTGTGACGGAGAAGTTTAGTATGACGAGGCTTGGATAATATTTTTTTTCGAATTTGGCACTCACCCGCAACCTTGAGATTAAGAGTCTCACGCTCTACCGATTGAGCTAACCGGGCGACGTCTGTTGTTCCGGATGCCGTGCAATACCCACAATTGAACCGACGGAGATCGGATTTGGGACGACGAGATATTTTCAACCCCGGTATATAGATATCTCGCTATCCCATACTATCCTCAGTTAGATTGAATGGGAATGACGATTCGCGTGTCAATTCAACGATACTGATACAACAGCTGGTCACCTTTCTAGTCGTAAATATCTTCAATATGACGATTTCTCTGACGACTCGGCACATTTTTGGCTTGAACAGCTCGGTATTCTACGATCTGATGATAGATAGTCATACTGTAATAAGGTAGTAAGGTCGCCAAGGTCATAAGTAATGAACCCCTTCTCCAAAAAAATCTGTGTACTTGGGTTTAGACGTACGGATTCCGGTACTTAATATGGATCGGTAGTCCTTCGTACGCAGTATAGATGACCGGTGTTGGGATAGGCAAGTCAAAAAGATGGAGCAACTGTGAGTAAAATTTCTTGGCTAACGGGCTGAGGCAATTGAGATATCCCGTACATTACTGTGATGGTACGAAATACCTTAGGTACACTACATTGTTCAAGTATGAGTACTTGGACGTTACATGGCTTTACCTAAGTCAAAAGTCGGAGTCATCTAGCCATTAGATCCCTTAGATAATAGCTTCCAGGTGGAAGTTTAGGAGATCAACGTACCCAAGCCGTCTGTTTCTCTTTGCTGTCAAGAGTCGAGATTTCAAAAAGGAACGCAACTAGATAACATGTGTAGATCGGCCTGCTCAACGCCGGCCCAACGTACAGACTGTACATACATCACATTAAAGTGAAGTTACTATTACTGAGTAGATACAGTAACGACGCCGGCAGACATAGTAAATAGAAGACGCATAGAACAAACCGCCTGCCAGGAGGCAGTCTAGACTATGTAGACACCTGCGTCTCAATAAATTGCTTCTCCAGATGTATAATAGCGAACATACATACCAGGTTTCCAACCGTGATTACATCACCCGCAACCCGTCGGATCTTTCGGGAGATCCCGATCGCTATGGTAGTTATACGATGGTGTCAAGTCTCACCCGCAAGGCAACCGTTACAGGTGTCTGAGTCAGCATCCAAAATTGAAACACGTCCTCCCACCAGCTGAAAAGGCGCCTCACCAGCCCGGACAGGGTGGGCAGCCGAGTGAGCCTTGAGCGGCAACAATGCGCAGCACTCACCTCGCATATCCTTCTCGTGCGTGGTTACAGTATGTATGCTTGTTTCCAGGATTGACGATGATGTGACCCAGTAGCCCTGCTTCTATCGATACCAACGAGTACACTATATCTACTCAGTACACTGGAGGCCCAACGTTCCTTGGCGCAGTGCTTTTATTCTCCCTCCTTTCTATTCTGACTCCTTGAATGTAGGGCGACCTTGGCATCTTGCTGACTGTTTCCAACGCCGTACCCTGTCAAAGGATCAGCCCAGGGGGCGACTAGTACTAATCATCATAGCAACAATGACAAATCATGTTTTGGATGGGTACGAAGTGCATGATATAGAGAAGCCAGGCGGGCCAAAATCTATTAAACGTCATTACCCAGAAGTGAAAAGTGGGAATCGAGCAGCTTGCCGTCTCTGCCCTTTGCTCGCTCACTCGAAAGTGTGACCAGTGCTATACCCATCTATGCTTTCTGTCTCTCTCGACTATACGTATACGTGCAACGAACGAAGAACATATTGGACGGGATTGGAGCTGCTGCAATGGGACGACTTGATCCGAACAGAGCATCGGCGGCTCGACCTGTAAGCTGGAGCACGCTTCCCGCCGATGATCCAGCCGCCCATGAACAGATAATCAAGTTTATCTCCGAGTCGATAGTAGATGACATACAAAGCAATATATCGAGCGGGTTCATGAGACAGGTGCATGCGTCCAAGAAAAGCGCCATTTCACCTCACGACAAGGCAGAGCGGATGCACATAGTCCGTGATATGCGAACGACTCTAGAGCGCCTGACGGAGGAGTTGGGTCAAAAGTTTTTCGAAGAATATCGCCATAGGCCAGCTGTTGGTCGGTGGTACGACTCCTGGTTGTTCAACGACCCCCCGACGTTCCTACGATGGGAGCAGGAATGGGCCTTCACGCCTGACGAAACGTTGGTCATGTCCCACGCGCGAAGCAGTAGTGGCAGTATCGACGGACGCTTGTCTGGTTCTGGAACCACTCCCGAAGTCAGGGTGGACTTTGAAGAGGATCTCGACGACTCTGAAGATACCCAGGACTATTCCCAAGTTCCCGAGTACAGACCGGACGCACCGGTGACAGAAGTAAGTTTGAGGCCCAAATCTCTGGAGTATTGGAGCAAAGCTTGTACGTATGGGACCGGGGTTGCAGTTCAGTTAACATAAGAGTTTCCAGAAGAAAACCGATAGCTCGGCACCATCTTCTACCCGTTGTCAGTGCAACTACGCGGAAGGTGAGAGTTCGGATTCAGGGGGTGCCACCCATCTCTGCCAGACATGTGCCTGTAGCGATCAGGGCCAAGGCTGCACTGCGTCTTGTGGTTGCGACGAGACATGTCAAAATAACTTCAACAATCCCGCGCTGGACAACATTCTGCGCACCGACGCTTCTGGGCGGGCAGATTTCAGCACCTGCTTCATCACTTACTTACAAAAGCTCGAGTTAGCTGAACCCATCAGTCTTGAATATCTATTTGATCAACTTCTGACCGGCCTGGACTATGTGCCCGACGGGAACGATGAGGCAATCGATGCGTGGCGGGCAGAATGGGAGACAGGCTATAATGGGCCGGATCTGGACGCAAAAATAGAGGCGCTCCAACGTGACCTGATCCATCTCGGACTCGGTGCTGACCGCGGCGACAAGCGAAGGGACTGGTTCTTCTCATTCTGCTACAACAACAATGAGCGGATCGGAAGCTGGCAGCAAGGCCAGCAGATCTGGCACTGCAGGGACTGCAGGCAGTGTATTGACCGGCAAGCGTGGTGGCACTGCGAACAATGCAATAAATGCCAGTATGGGAGGACGGCACCCTGTGGCGATTGTGGGGGCGTATCGGATTCATATCATGAGAATCATAATGGGTGGCCGAATCCCCAAGCGGAGTATGATTAAAGCCATGCTGACCCGCTGAGAACTGGGAAGAGAAGCAGACGGGCCAACTTCATGGCCGGCTTTCTTGAGATGGTAAACTGCGCCATAATGGACGCTTGAGTGAACCCATGGTATTTAATACCACGCCGTGATGCGGGCGCAATCATCAGGAATGAAATAGGTACATACCTACCCATAGTCTTTCATGAGGGCGGATTCTGTCGGTTGGTTGATCACGGATTAGGACACCGTGAATTCGGGAGTTGAGAAGAGAGTGGCATCCTTCTCTTTGGGCGTGCCAGGGCGATAGTTATACTTTTACCGAGTCAAATTGTAGTTATATTTAATTATCAGAGCTAACTACCTGAATATGTAATTAAGAGCATAATGTACATTAATATATGCTAGGTACCCAGTACATACCTCTTTTCTCATTTAATGACCCGTATTGTGCCTGTAACATGCCCATAAAACGCCCGTAATACGACTCAGATAGGTACGATAAGTACGTCCGTAAGTATCTGCTACTTCCGCCTCATACCCGCAAGTGCTACCCGCCTGGTTACGTAATGTACAAGTACATTCCGTATTGACAGTTACGAGCCATCCAACATCATCAACAACCCGACCCTCGTGTTGAATAGCATCCTTTTCTCACACAAACTGCCATTGAATCACTCACCTTATCATACCTCCAATTGTCTATTTCACGTCTAGTACTTTATTTTGGACCCGGTCGAATTAGTAAACGAGACAAACTACGATTAGAACACGGCGATCTCGGCTTCATTACCGTCTGTCTGCCTATCTACATAGTAGACGTCTTATCCATTACCTGCTTATACTAATCCCGAGTGCTCTCTCCGACTATCCGCGACATTTGCGGCCCAACTGCTTGACTGGCCCGGCCTATTCTGGTCCTGCGTTGGCTCCGCATTGCTGCGAGCGTGCGTCCGTTTCTTTCCGCTTGGGACATCGACAACCATGGGGTTGCGCCCATGATTTGTCTCCTTCCCCCGAAGGAGCGCCACCATGCCGCCCGAAGGCCGCACAACCAATATTCGCGTCTTTATAAAATGGGATGACCAGACCGTGTTTTCCGGGGAGGAGCTGAGGTGTCAGATCACCTTCAAGAATGTTGCCTCCGGCTCCGGCCAGTCAGCCTCGTCTTCATCGCCAGCGTCGGCTTCCATTCCGGCCTCGATCAACCTACGTCACCCTCCACCGTCGTCACCACGCGCCGATCGACAGAGACAAGCCTCGCCACTCCTGAGCCCCCGAGGAAAGTCCATGAACAATGGCTTGACGCCTCCTGCATTCACTCGTGGTCATCGCTCAGCGTTGTCCCTCAATGTGTCTTCCACAAACTCGCGTCTAAGGAACAATGCCCAGCAATGGCCTCCTCTTCAGCCGCCCGCGTTCCCGCAGAATACCGCTCCTAGTCACGCCCATAAACGATCGCTCTCTATCGTGTCCATAGGCTCCAATGCCACTGTCGACGACCAAGTACATAGCAATTCTCCCCAATCGAGACGTCCTGCTCGTACCCACGGTCGATCTGCTTCCCTCCAAATCGTACCACGCCCAGGCACAGCGAACGGGCCTCAATCAGCAGTGCTCCCGCGCCGCTCGCCATTTGGCGCCGAATCCTCTCCCATGTTTAATAACCATTCTTTTCCTCCGTCAAAGCATGACTTTAGTCCGCGGCCAGGCGCCGCGACAGCCCCTCATACTCCTAACATGAACAAATTGCCCACAAGAGGGAAAGCGCCGGGCCCTATGCCAGACTTCAAGTTTCCCATGGCTCCAGGATCCCCTTCTATAGGTGGCGCTACTGATGCCTTTAATCCCCATCTAGACGACTCTACTACTACACACGCTGCGGAAACAACACTGCAAGTCGCTCTGCCCGTCCG